TTTTATTCCTGAATCTTGGCTAAATTCCTTGGGCTTAATCTTCTGGTCTCAAAAATATTGGACAGTTGCACTGCCCACCTACCTGATCATTACTATGGTTGGTTACGTATCCTCATTTGGAATAAACATGATGACTATCTTCATTCAACTCCACTCATACAATCATAGATAACTATACTAAAAATCAAGTACAGAGGAAATACTAAGAAAAGGCCATACCAGCATTAAGACATATTCCTATTAGTGAAGGAAACCAAATGTTCTTACAGCCAAAGAACTTTATGCCGAAAACTGAATTCTATATAGACTAACACCAAGCATTTATTATATTTTTGACGTAATAATTTTGACCATAACTGTTCTTATGTATACCCAGTACTGAAATGTCAAAAAAAGCAAGTTGAACTTCTTTTAGATTAAATTCCATTAATATTATAAATATTCTCAAGTATTTGTTATTAATGACAGACTAAATAAAATACTGTATTACCATGTAACAGACTTTTAAAAAAGTATCAGTAAAATCAAGAAGTCCCTCCAAAGAAGCGTTCATGTTATAATCTTCAAATGGCAAAAAATGAGTAAATAAGAAATAAGCTTAAAATTGTATGTTAATATACAATATAATTGTTCTTTAAAAAATAATCCAGCATTTATAAAGTCATTTAACATCAGAACTGAAAACTAAATGAATACTACATGTGCTACGTAGCACTGTATCTGATTATAAATGTTTTTCTACCCTCAAGTCATATGTTCAGAATCATTTGCCAATACTTTTGAAATTAAAATCATAAAGTATAAAAGTCTCTATAAAGAACTGTCATTGCTTGTTGTCATCATCAATTCAGAAGAATGTGTATAGACACAAATGATCACTTTGTAATAAGGAATTTGGCTTTACCTAAAGAAAGTTCTGGCCTGCATCTTTAGGACCTCATACCTGATAATTTATGCTAACAAGATGACTCAGGATGAACACCTGTAACTCGATGTCAGCCAGTTTTCCAGGGAGGGGCAGGGCTGGAAAGTTCTCAACCACATGGGCAAAGAATCAATCAGGCCAAGAAATAAAACGTGAATAAAAATTTGGACACCACAGCATGAGTGAGCTTTCCTGATTGGCAATACTGTATGTATACTGTGGCTGGGAATAAATAACACTGTCCAGGACCCCACAGGGAGTAGACAACTGGAAAGGAAAACTGGAATTTGGACTCCTAGATTCTACCCTATATGCCTCTTCCTTTGGCTGATTCAAATTTGCATCCCTTCTTGATAATAAACATGATGAGAGTGTAATAGCTTTCATTAACTTCTGTCTTTCTAGTGAATTATTGAACCTGCAGGTAGATTTGGGAAACCCATGAATTTGCAGTCACCAAGACACACTCTACTATAGTAGTATTTGACATCTTTGGGGTCTGAATACAAGTTATTTCCTCTTTGCTATTTTCTTTTCTGGAATATGTATGTAATAATCCTGCTTTGAGGGAACCCAAAACTTTTAAGAATGGTAAGAAAGACCATTTACTAATGCCACTATCTGACTCTGCTGAATGGCAGTAATTATGTATAAGATTTGAATTATGAGGTGTAAGTATGAGGTTGCATAGGACTGGGATTCAAGGACTGTGATATACTTCCAACAAAAGTATTCCAATTCCAAAAAGATGTAAAGATTTTCAGTTAATTATTTTCACAAGAAGAAACCAAAGTATCTACTTTTAAAATGCTGACATGCTGAAATAAATAAATGCTGATACTTTTTAGTGACCTTTTAAAACAAAGCACTTCGTACAAGGTTATTTCACTAATAGGCGTGGAAATGAAATCCTTTGTATTGCTTATCATTTGATCTCTATGCACTGAATTGATAGTCACAGTAGAAGCAATTATATTCAATGATTTATGAAGAAAATATATACCAATTACTGTAATTACTTAACCTTGAGGCTAGCAAAAAGATAATTTATTTAAAACAACAACAACAAAAAATTAGGCTATTATCACACAGAGAGAGAGGTTCTAACTAGTTTAAATAAAACCCAGTCTTCCATGCTAGAGCATAGGCTAGGAAAAAGGAAGGAACATCACACATGATAAAGGTAACTAGAGAGATACAGAAAGATCAGGGAGTCATTTCTGATATATAGAAAGGACTCTAATTTGGTTAAGTCAAACACAGGTGAGAAGGGAAACAAGGAAATATAGGAACAAATTGAAGTGGTTAATTATGAAAATCTTTTTCATAAATCTACTAAATAGATAATAACTGGATACCAAAAAATGACAGAGACAAATTGATCCATTAAAAAGCCATTTAACAAAAGACCAATTTATACATTCCTCTAAATTATGTCCATAAAAAATTTAAATATACAAATCACATTCCCAAACTCAAAGGAATCTTTCTAAACAAATAAAATACATAGACATATAAACAAATTCAGAATTCAAATCATTTAAAAATATTTTAAAAATCACAGTAAATTATATCTCATAATAAGAAATAAAACAATCAAATAACAGCCATATATATACACTTGTTAAAATTTCAAAAGCTCAATGATGGAGCAGTGGTGCATAATTTATTTAAATAAGTACTGTTTACTAATGTTTATACAGTATACTAATTTAATATTCTGTTAGATAATGGATTTAAAGAGCAAATGTTGAAACATCCAAAAAATTGAATTATAGTTATTCAAAATGTCAATTTCCCCATGTGTCCAAAATAGTGAATTACAGTAATATCTTTCAGAAAAGTCAGTTATTTGGTAAAGCAAGGCACATAGGACCAGATTTTGATAAAGGTGCTTTTTCTTTGGTCCTGTAATTACTTTAAATATGCTACATGTCTGGGAGATTCTTAAGATGACTTTCAATATAGCATAAATAACTTATAAACCTTTTCTTATGTAAAGCATACATCCATGTGTAATTAAATATAACAATGAAAGTGTAGATAAAATAAGCTAACCCTTATTTTTAAAAACAAAACAAAACTCAGTTGAATGACGATACAATGACATTTTAAAAGTTCAATAATTTGATATGTAGGAAAAGTGTACCAATATTTAAGAATAATCAATATTACACTACATCTACTGGGCACAAAGTCAATTAGTTTCTTTTTAGATTCTGTCTCCTTAGAATCTAGTTTAAATATCAAACTACCTTCCCTTCTGTGAAATTGTGACATTCAATATAAACTGATGTAAACATTGAATTTTTGCATCTCTAAACTATAGTTTCTACCATAAAACTAGCCTCCAACTTCCCTAAGAACACTTATTAAAGAAGTGGTAATATTACCATGTTGAAACACCTACATATTGAATTTTAAACTTTTCTTCCCAAATACTTAATTCTTCATTTTTAATAGAACTATCAACTGGAACTCTTCTCCCATGAATATAGTGAACAAAGTAGTTGAGAGATAACAAGTAAACTTTAAAAAGTAAGAATTTAAATAGTCAAGATTGATTGATACAATAAGGCTTTTGAAGGTCATCAAAACACACCACACACACATATACGAAAATGGCATTATTTGAGTAAATAACATGGTCTAGGATATAGGCCCCCCTTCTCAAATCCAATTCTTTCTCTATGAATTAAAAATTATAAGCCACACAACCCAATCTCTAATAACATCTTTAAGCCTACTAGAAAAGCAAAATATAAATTAAACTTGTCTAATAAAAGTTGGTTTAAAAATAGGCTTTGGATCACTTCATCTTTTCTCACAACTCTTAATTATATTTTTAAAAGCTTTATTGGCAATCTTAAAATTATATTATTTTGGACACTGGAAAATATGGTAACTAACATGTCTAGTATCCAATTATTTGCTTTTATCATTTTTTGAAGGTACACTCAGCCTATGTAAATGTACACTGAATTAATATATACTAGTACCCAACTAGTACTTCCATGCAGGCTGAACATAAATCTTTATATATACTCTTGAATTCTTTGCATTTGCAGGACTTAGATTTCACTCAGAAGTAGATAGTAAGATGTAAGTCTGAATGCTGTTACGATCTAAAAACACAATGCTCAGAATGTGGTGAAGTTATTAACAAATACTCTAAAAGATGGTCACTGAAAATCATAGGTCAGGTTTCCAGAAAGTTTAGTTAGTTCCAATTTGGAATCACCAGCTAATTGATTTAAGATATTTTGTAATTTTAATCACTTTTAGACTCCGAATGGAATAGATTAAACCTGTGTCTTATAGAGATGTGGTTTGCATAAAGCAAAGAAACACAGCCAGTCCTAATAAGCCGAAGTACCCAAAAATTTGTAACACGGTATTTTTGAGCCAAATTCTATTTAACAAAATCCATTATAACCATATAAAAATAGTTACTTTTTTTAGTTTTTATACTATTAGAATGGGAGACTTAAAAATATATAAGCATGAATGAAAAAATAAAATACTTCTTATACATAATAGGTAATTCTATCTATAGTCAATAATTAAATTATATCCATATTCCGTATTCTTGCCCACCAATTCACTTTACCACTTTTGCTATATTTTCTCTCCCTCTTGAACCAACTTATTAAATAACTCATGTAATTTATAACCTCAACTCCAGTGCTAATCAAAACGGAAAAGAAACCACTATCTTAAATCTAAGTGGTGGCTCCTTCCCAGCAGCTTCTACAGGGCCACAGAAAGGGAACTCAGAATTTGCCACCTCTCCTAGGCATGTGACCAGAGTATTCTCGGGGATGGTGGGTTTATGAAAAGCCTAAAAAATTCTTCTGAGCAGCCTTGAGTTTATAGCTATAGTGCCATTTAAAATAATATAATATTATGGCAATCTGGAATGTCTCTAAGAAAGGTCATTTTGGTCTCAATTCATTGATATCTATACTATTATTATTTTGGTTGTTGTTTTTAACAGCTGTAGATTAAAGGAATTTTTACAGATCAATGACTACAATATTCATTTAAAAACATTTTAGTTGTGTACAGTATACGCTTTGATAGTTCAAAATTCTCCAAGTGGAGATATTAGATAATAATAATTATTTTCAATTATTAAATGAGTATTTAATCCTTTTAAATTCATTTTGAAACTTTAATGGAAATTACCACATACAGCAATTTAATTTAAAGAAATATTAAGGATTTATCTGATTTACAGAAAAGAAACACAATTAAGAGATTAAGAACAAAACTCAATTAGTGCAAAAGTCTCAGGCTACAATCTAGCACAGGAGCAACTGGATTGCTTTCAGCAGTTTCAAAGCACTAAACGGATCTTAAAATGTAGATGGAGAAATAGATGTGTGTATTTCCCTACATTAAATTTAAGTATGAATTTTATTCTCTCATAAATTAGACCCAGGACATAACTTTATCAATTTTTATGTAGTTGAACAAATGACATTTAGCAATCTTTTCTTTAGTAATCTTTTGTATAAATATAAAAATCTCAGATACATTAAAATGTTTTTCAAATCATACTTCTGTTTTTTCACAGCTTTATAAGCAATTATAATTATAATTTTCAAACTTTGAATATTCCATGTGATTTGATATTTCTATACAGAAAAAGATAAAAAACATTTAATAAGATTAAATAGATCTCATTTGCAAAAATTGTATCTGACATTTGTTGTGTGCTCTTGCAAAGAGTGCATAGGACATTTCTGCAGCAATCAAAAGGTAAAATCTTTTTAAACTCAGATTTCAAGTTTTCTCCAATAATTATTCTAATAGCTGGAAATACTTTCAAGCTTTGATTTCTAGATGTAAGAGCTATTTCATTAACATATACACATTTAATCCTTAAACTTTTATATTTTCAAATCATTTGAACAATACAATGAGATTCAGCATGATGATATCTTCTGAGAGTCTGTAGAAGTCCTCTATGCAAGATTAATGTTGAGATTCCTAGTGCACCATTGTGAAAAATCAGTTAAAGATAGTATACGACTATGCTTTAGTAGGATTGCCTGTAGGTTTGGGATCATAACCATATAGGAAAGTAGCTGTTATTACAAGGATGGCTCCAAGGAAAAAGACACTAAATAGATGAAGAAAAAATGAAAAAGAGATAATCAGATTAAAAGCAAAACAACTTCTATTTCTTCTCTTATAAAAACAATTTTAACTTGGGAAAAAAATGTTCCAGTAATAAGGCTAACAAATACTAAGTACTTAATACATTCTAGGTATTCAAGCCAAGTGTTTTCTATGCATCTCATTTAATTCTTATAACCACCTTATGAAGAAGTATTAGTATTAACCTCATTTTTTTTATATATGAGGAAACTGAGGGTTAGAGAGTTTAAGTAACTTGCTTAAAGTCAATTTAAGTGGAAGACAAGACTCAAATCTAGGTATGCTTGACTCTAGAACCCTACTTTCATCCACTGCACTGTATTGACTCCCAAAGCAAAGATGTTTTAAATGTATTTCCCCTTAATATGTCTTTTGCCTGTAATACATTGAATAATAAAAGATCTCAACTTTTAAATATTTGAAAATATAAACAGAAAATGGCATTCTTTTGAGACCAAAGTAAAGTTCAGCTTTTTGTTTGTTTTTTTTAGTAAAGTTCAGTTTAAAATCCAAGGTAGTAATTAGCAAAATTCAGGACCAACTTCACATGATGCTTTACAAAAGGAAATTCGATTAAATGCAGGTAGACTTGGTTTATTCTTTATTTTATCTATCCAGAGATATAATATACCTTATTATAAACTATAAATGAACTTAAACTGGTACTGGAACTTAAAGTGGAGATAAAGTGAATACGAATTTAACTTTTAAGATGTAAATTCTTCAAAGTACTATTACAGGGACATGAGTTAGTCTTGGTTTTAAAGTTTCTATTAATAATTCAAAGTTACTCTCTTGAGTTTTACAATAATAAACATTTGTTCTATAAAGGAAAAAGATCACAACCCTTACTATGACATAAAGGGCCCCTTCCTAATGTGGTCCCCCTGACCTCATCTCCCATATTCCACCCACCCAATCTATAGTTCAGCCATTCCATTCAGTGAAACAGTGTGCCTTTCAAGACAGTGTCCTTTTAGATGCTACTCCCTCCCTCTGCTTGCAATGTCCTTTCTCCCAAGAAAATGATTATTCATAACTCATGTCTAATGTCTCCAAGACTCATTCCCCTAGGTGGAGATACTCTATGATAACATTTATTACACGTTATTAAATGACACATTATTGACATGTCTGCACGCCTGCTTAACCATGTGTTCCTCATTCATCATTATATCCCATGCCTAGGATATAGAGGGAGCTCAATAATTATCTGCTGTGATAAATTATCTGCTGTTGGTTTGATGTAAATGGGTAACTTTTCAAAAGCCTCTGATGCAGGTACACATGTAAGATTATGACAACATAAACCTTCCTACAATACCTCTTGAAGAAAATTAGTACCATAGGAATATTTCATAATTAGGCTTTGGGCAAGCTTCTGACTGAAAACTTCCTCTGTCAGGCATTCTGACCTTTGCCTAGCTTTCTGGACCTCTGGAATTACACAGAATCACATGCTCAACTGAAAAGCTGTCTGATCCAATTCTCTACCCACGGCAAGAATCCATTTTATGAAATTTCTAACAGGATCTACTAGAATCCCTAATAATGTCATGAAACCCCCGCTTGTCAAGATAGCTATTTTTACATGGTTCTGAGGAAAAAAAATTTGTTGAGGAAAAACTATCAGAATACAATGATTATTTCAAGGATTTGGGCACCTGATTTCCAACAGAATTGCATATATATACTTCATTGCTGCACTGATCATAAAATTCTCATTTTTCACATGTCTATCTCTCTAATCATTGTTATCTCTTTGAAGAGATGAAATCATATCTCTCTGAAGAGATGAATCATATGAATTCATACATTCCTGTTTCTCCAGGATCTGGTACAGTGAAAGGAAGGCACATAGTGGACACTTAATAAATTTTTGATAGAAGAATAAATAAGCCTAAATGCAAGGATGATTAATACCAATAAGCAAAATAATAACACAAGAAAAATAAGTTAGGAAAAGGAATACTGGTGATATATTAATAAAGGTGTTGAGCAGTCAGCTGAAAATAGGACTCTAGAGTTGAAGTTAAGTTGGGACTTATCTTCACAGAGAGGACAGACAAGACATGGCAGTGAATGAGATGAATGAGAGAGTGAATAAGGATTGATAGGTTATTAAAGGAGCAGTCAGAAAGGCAAGTACCAGGGAACCACCTCTGAGAAAAACAACAAACAAAACCTAAGCAGTTTTAGGAAGTGAAATGGGGATAACAAAGGAAAATACATTAATACATTTGGAATAGGGGTCATTGGATTTATTACTTAAGAGATGTTCTTCACAAAAATAAGAATACATAAAGATAGAGAGTCTAGTTATAGGAAAAATAATCCATCTTCTTCATCTGACTCAGTGTCAAAACATTCATTCATTCAATAATAACAAACTCATTATCTTTTCCCTTTTTATCTTCATCCCAACATACCCTACATAGTCCCTCAGAAACATGGATTTACATGCAGATATAAATCTTATTGACAAACTACTATTCTTTTGCCCTTCTACTGATTTACCTGTTCATTTACTTGTTTATTGTTTATTCCCTACATGACTCAAAGATTTAAAGTTACCATCCTGAGTCAGCTTTATATGAGGTGTTATTTTTTTAAAGGTATGCCTTTTTAAATGTACCCTAAAAATCTAGATTCCAAAACATCTAAAATAATTTAAAGTTCCCAACTTACTCAAATAATACATTCGTGCACAATTTCCTCATTTAATGAATAGAGGCTAAAGCATCATTAAAATATATATCCTAGTTGTTAGGCTAGTCTCACTAGCTAGGTAGTTCATTCCCATACCAAACTAGAAATAGAAATACTTTTAAATCCATGCCTCAGAGAAATTAAACATTCCAACATGTCTGTCCCAGACCTATTACCCAGGTTGCTAGAAGAATGAAACCACAAATGTTTAATATAGAAACATAAAGAGCATATTATGTTTTTCTACTGCCACATTCCATCTATAATCCTATCTCACTCTCAGTAACACAAATAAATATTACTAGCTGTATTAAAATTTTAAGAACTTGAGTATTCATTCAAATAGAGTGCCTATTATAGGCCAAGCTTCGGCTTTGCTGACTTATAAGATGGTAATAAGTCTTCTGAAGAAAGGAGGAAAGAATGTTAGAATGGAGGGGGGTGCTTTTATTTAGGGAGGTCTCCTGATACAGTAAATCTGAGCCAAGACCTGAGGATGTGAGGGAGTTTGTCATGTGAATACACAGGGGATGAGTATTCCAAGATGACTGAAGGGCAAGTCAAAGCCCGTACCAAAGAGGTTGCTGTAGATAGACAGATAGGGGAGGGGAGGGAGGGAGGAAGAAAGGAAAGAAGAAAGAAAAAGAAAGGAGGGAGGAGGGAAGGAAGGAAACAAAAGGAAAGTAATATCAGATGAAGACAGGTGCATAGTTGAGGGCCATATCAAATAGGCCATTAATAATTACAACTTTTAGGTAACAGAGTGGTGAGCAGAGTGGTGATATGATCTAACTTACATTGAAAATAGTTTGCTGAATGGAGAACATTGTAGGGGCACAGAGCAAGAGACAAAGCAATGAGATAAATCAAGAGACTATTTCCTTAATCCAGGTGATAAATGAGTATGCCTTGGACCAGGGGGGTAGCAATGGAAGTTGTGAGAAATGGTTGACTCTGGAGATATTAAAGAGGAAGAGGTGACAGGCTTTATTTCTAGATTGGAATGATGTATGAGAGAAAGGTAAAGAGAAGTTGATAACCTTACTTCCTATTTCACTCAGAAGATAAAGAACTTTCATATATTTTAACTTTCTAAGTCTGTCTACATATCTATAGGCCTTCTCTTAGGTTACTGTGGACAAACTGTTCCTGTTTAAGTCAAGGAGAATTTTAGCCTAAGCAACTGGAAAAGGAAGGTGCTGCCATTTACTAAATTGGGAAACCCTTATAGGGTTAGGGAATGAATTATGTAGTAGACATTCAAGTGAAAATGTCAAATAGGCAATTAAATATACAAGCCTGGAATTCAAAGTAAAATGTGAAAGTAGAGAGAAAGAAAAGGAAAGGAAAGAAAGAAAAGGAAAGGAAAGGAAAGGAGAAGAGAAGGGAAGAGAAGCAAAGAGAAGCGAAGCAAAGCGAAGAGGAGAAAGAAGGAAAGGGAAGGGAAGGTTATCATCCTTGAGAATAGAGATCACCTAAGGAAGTGAGAACAAATAAGAGGTTCAAGGACAGATCCTTCAGAGACTCCAAAGTTTAGAAGTTAAGAAGATGAGGAGGGGAGTGAAGTTGACGAAAACCAAGACTAGTAACCTAGAATCCACTAAAATATAATCTCATTACTCTGGGATTATAAATTAATAATTATAAAAAAATAATAGGACTTTCAGTACCAGCTATAATGGGTATTAATCACACTTCATTCTTCCTGACTCTGTTTCCTCCCTTGGCATCGATGACACTACACATCCTGGGTCTCCTGCCTCACCCATCATTCCTTTGGTAATTCTCTTCCCAACCACTCTTCTGCCACCACCTAAAAGAGTTTTCTCCTGCACATTCTCTACATAAACTATTCTCTTCAAGAATGTCATCTACTCTCCTGGCTTTACGTATATCAATTACACACATAAAAATGCCACTATATGATTTATTGAACTTTTTATATGACATTTTACTTTGGGGGAAAAGTTTGAAAAAATATTCCAGTCTATTGGGAAAATTCTGGCTAGTTAAATTTGTACAAAAAACTTACTAGTGGAATATTTTCTTCTATGTAGTTAGTTTGAAACCTTTTTTTTTAAAGACAATTAAGGAGCACCTGGGTGGCTCAGTTGTTAAGCATCTGCCTTTGGCTCAGGTCATGATCCCAGCGTCCTGGGATTGAGCCCTGCATTGGGCTTCCTGCTCGGCGGGAAGCCTGCTTCTCCCTCTCCCACTCCCTGTGCTTGTGTTCCCTCTCTTGCAGTCTTTCTCTCTGTCAAATAAATAAATAAAATCTTAAAAATAAATAAATAAATAAATAAAAGACAATTAAATGCTGGGAAACAGAGAGTTGCTGGAGGGGAGGCAGTAGAGATATGGGGGTAACTGGGTGATGGACATTAAGGAGGACATGTGATGTAATCACCACTGGGTATTATATAAGACTGATGAATCACAGGCCTATACCTCTGAAATCAATACACTGCATTTTAATTAACTGAATTTAAATTAAAAAAATGTTTTTTTAAAAAAGATAAAACAGAGAGGGAGGTGAACCATAGAGACTCTTAACCCTGGAAAACAAACTGAGGTTGCTGGTGGGAGGTGGGTAGCGGACAGGGTAACTGGGTCTCGGGCATTAAGAAGGGTACATGATGTAATGAGCAGCAGATATTATATGCAACTGAAGAATCACTAAATTCTTCCCCTGAAACTAATAATACACTATATCTTAACTAAATAGAATTTAAATAATTTTTAAAACTAAAAAAAAGACAGCTAAATGATTTTTTACTATATTTCCTTGATTCTTCAAAAGTTATAATAAAATACACAGACCTGTACCCCTGGGGGGAAAAAAAATATATATATATGTTTATAAAAAATAAAATTATTAAAAAAAAAGTTATAATAAAATAAAATTTTTCATACCAGATCTTATTAAGAATTCTTATTTTTCCACATATTTTGGATACTTAAAGAAATAGAAAAGAATACATTACCTGGTTGGCACAAAATCTTGTAGCCAAAAATAGGATATCAGTGTTGATAGTATTATGGATAAAGAGGTTGCAAATCCTTTTAAAATATTATCTGCGTATTTAATAACAGCAGCTATTACAAGGCCTCCAAGTGCCTGCAAAAATTTTAAAAGATTATTTTAAACAAACATATATAAAACTGCCTTTCAAAACAATCTCATTATTCAATGAAGCTTTAAGCTTTTGTCCTATAAATTTAATCCCACTATAATAACTGATTTTTATTAAATATATCCTATAACCAACAGACTTCCAGGTTTCATTCAATAGCCCTTTTATTTCAAAAGTGATCTGATGAAGTAACTACCACAATAATCTGCAGTTTGTTATAATATAGTTTGTACTGTGAAAAAAACATCTATCCTCAACCAATTTAGTAATTAAACATCACTTGTTCAGACAAATGTGGAAAGACTGGTCACTCAGTTCCATGAAATGTTTTTATTTTTGAAGTAAAAATAAAGTGTAACTTGAATTTTTTTTTACTTGGCTTTCTTCCCCCAGTTTCTCACCATTCAACCTACTTTTTATTGCTGTCAGATTATTCTTCTGAACTTTCTACCAAATCTCTCTCAAAGTCCACACTGTGCCTACTTAAATAATGAGGTTTTACCACACTATACAGTTTTGTTTTCTGCCAAACTCTACTTACACATCCTAAATCTGGATTACCCATGTTAAGAACTTTTACTGTACCTCTGCACATGACAGAAGCTTATTAGTGAAAATCACAAACTATGCCAATTGAGCTCACTGCAAACTGATGTCCTATTACCTCCTGGCAATGTGCGTGTTCATCTATTTAGTCCACGATGAATCCCTCATATCGACTGTACCAAACCTCCTTTATCTTGCTCAAGTCTTACAGGAAGAGGGCTTTCCTCTGCTAGAATAAAAGCTATCATACAAACTCTCTTGATTTACCCTATCTCTACTTCAAATTTCCTCTGAATTTTCACTTACCCTTGTCTCCTTTTATCTTAAAAATAGAAGTATCCTTCCTGCTTTCAAAACACAACTATCCTTTGCTATCCACACCCACCTTCTGTAAGAGGCCTTGCTTCTTACAGCTTCAAATACCTCCAAAGAAAGGATTTGTGAGGGCAGTGACTTGCATCTTCACTTTTATATCCGCCAGAGTAATCAAGTATATTTTTGACGATGAAATTACTCAACCTTCGACCAATTTCAAATTATAAACGGAGATAATTTGAGGAATATTTTAATATGTAACTACAATGTAAGGCAGATTTGAATATCTAGATCTGCTTTTGAGCCTTAATGCACTGATCACAGACTTCCTATATAAGAATTGTAAAACAAATCAAAAGTTATATCTGTTTTCAGCTTGAACTCTTTTATTCTTAAACTTGATTTTAATTATGTCAAATTTAAATACCATAAAGTTATTTATGACCTTTTCAAAGTGTTTTAATTATTGCATTAAGACCAGTTCTATTTTAACTTCCCTGAATAAGCTTGATATAATGAGAACACCCAACAGGAGGGATCTCTTTCCCTCACATTGTACATCAGGAGCTACACTGATTATCTACATTAAAAAAAAGTTTATTAGCACTAAATATGACTTTAAATGCTTTACCTGAAGAATAACAACTATCCAAGTCAGTCGGTTATATCCCTGAAAAAATCCATTCTTTGACACCAATTCTCCATCATAAATGTATACACCCATTAATCCAAATATACTCCCAAAGAAACCTTAAAAAAAAAAAAGTCACGTTTATGTCATATGTCATTTAGTTTGGAGAAACTAAACTAAACTTTATTTGGAGAAAAGTCAGGTTTATGTGATATGCCATTTAGTTTGGAAAAATATTTTTCCATTGACATTCCATATAATTTTATATTTATATAATTTTATATTTAGCTTTTCCTTTTTGACAAAATTTGACTACTTAAAAAATCTTTTACTTGGGTGGGCACCTGGGTGCTGAGTCGGTTAAACCTCTGCCTTCAGCTTGAGTCATAATCCTAGGGTCCTGGTCCTGGGATAAGCCCTGAATTGGGCTCCCTGCTCAGCGTGGAGTCTGCTTCTCCTTCTTCCTCTGCCCCTGCCTGCCCCGGCTTTCTCTCTCTCAAATAAGTACATAAATTTTTTAAAAAAGAAATAAAATTTAAACAATAAAAATCTTTTACTTGGATATTTATATAAACCTAACAAAATTATACTTAATACTGTATTATGATTGTAAGAAAAAGACAGGAGGATATAGAAAAGAGCAGAGATTACCAACTTTGGAACACTAAAAAATATAATGGCATTAAGGGCGCCATGGTGGCTTAATCAGTTAAGCTGCCAACTCTTGGTTTCAGCTCAGGTCACGACCTTGTGGTTGTGAGATCGAGCCCCTCAACGGGCTCTGTGCTCACTGCAGAGTTTGCTTCAGATTCTCTCCCTCTCCCTTTCCCTTTTCTCCCCCTGCTCTCATGCTCTCTCTCAAATAAATACATAAATAAAATCTTTAAAAATATACATAATGCTTACATTACATGACTACATGGCTGTCTCATTCAAATATCTGAAAAATGGTCACTTTCGGCATATTCATTGTCTCATATCTTCCTATTGCTAGCTCTAGATGTTCATATATACGTATTTATATATGCAGATATAAAAGCTCAGATATGTGGCATAGCATTTTTCCTTATTAAGAAGTTTTGAAAGTACATTAAGTAGTATCCAAAAATTCAAAGCTAAGAAATAGTCAGGCAACATCAGAAGCTGTCATTACTAAAGCCTCACTGTTAAGGAAAGCCAGTTCAGTGAGAGGAGAAACTATGTCTTATTCACTCCTATGTCCCTTATCTGCACCACGGAATTTAGCACATGGCTACTGGATCTAAAAGATTTCCAGGAGCAATTCTAAGCTATAAAGAAAGAAAGAAATGCCTACAAGCGCCACCTGTTAGGAGTCGTCTCTGGTAATATTTGTAGTAAAGAGTGCAGGGTGAAGCAATTTCTTTATAAAGCCATAATTACTTGAAGATTCCATGATGAAAAGGAACTAAATAAAAGGGATATGAAATGTTCTGCTAATTTTATTTAGGCCAACTCAATCAATTTTAATTAAGTTTTTTAGTTGGCCCCGCGTCAGGCTCTGTGCTCTGTGTAGAATCTGCTTGAGATTCTCTCTCCCTCACCTTCTGCTCCCCAACCCCTCATGCACTCTAAATAAATAAATAAATAAATAAATAAATAAATAAATAACTCGCTCTTTAAATGAATGAATGAAAGTAACAGCTGATAATGACAAAACAAGGTATATAGTACTGAAGGCTACATACATGTCAGTATATACAGATCTACTGCATTCTATCAGTTATATTATATGTCATTGAATGAATAAGAATATGAAATATATACATAACATCATGTGCCACAAGTTTCTAAGTGCTTTATGTGTGTTAACTCACAACAACCCTATTAGGTAGATACTTTTATGCCCATTTTATAGATGAAGAAAGTGATACACAGAGAAGTTAAATAAACATGCCTGAGCTCACAATGCTGGTAAGTGATGGACTCTGGATGTGAATCCAGGCAGTGTGGCTCTGGACTCCATGATCTTAACCACTGCACTATTTAATCATATTGGTAGTTTATTTCAACAATCTTCTACATGTTTTCTATTTTTTACAATTATAACCAATGCTAAAATAAATAACCTTAAACATCCATCTTTGTACTCTCGTGTAAGTTATCTGTAGGATAAATTCTTATCTAGAAGTGGAATTTTTGCATCAAAGCGTTTATTTACAATTTTGTTAAACATTCCCAGTTTCAGATCCAATAAGGTTATATCAATCTATACTCCTCGCAATCACAGGTAATAAGAGTTCCTGCTTCTCCACTCTGGCTAACATAGGATCTTATCAACTTGCTAATCTTTAACAGTTTGATACTTGAAAAATTCTATTAAAATGTTTTAATTTGGGGGCACCTGAGTGGCTCAGTTGGTTAAGCATCTGACTTTGGCTCAGATCCTGGAATAGAATGACCTCTACGCTCAGTGGGAAATCTGAATCTCCTTCTCCCTCTTCCTCTGCCCCTACTCTGCTAGTGCGTGCATGTGGGTGTGCACACTCTTGCTCTCTCAAATAAATGTTTTAAAAAATATGTTTTAATTTCTGTTTTTGTAATCTCAAGTTATCTACAACTTATTTATGTACCCTTTTTGAAACTTTGAGGTAGCTTACCGTTCACTAGATTGTGTTACGAGGTCAAATTAAAGAGTAAGAAAAAAAAAAATAAGAAGAAACCCATAACCACAGAATCATGAATTCTGGCTTTTTGTTTTTATTTTATAATTCAAGAAAAGTTAGGGCAATTACACAATCTTTTAATAGTTCTTTCTTTCCTGATATTTGCATATTTATATTATATATTTATATTTATAGTGATTACTATGCAAGGTACTTGATTCTAAACACTTTACAAGTACTAATTCATTTAATCCTCATAGCAACATATGGAGTTAGTACTATAATTAAGGACATTTTATCAATGAGGAAAGTGAAGCAGAGGAAGATTAAGCAACGTCCCTAAGGCCACACAGGTGGTTAAGTGATGAAATCAGGATTTGAGTTGATCTGACTACAAAATCAAGTGTTCTTATCCACTATACTACAGATACACTGTTTCTGAAATGGTGAATTAAATTGGTTGGTGCTTTTCAAGCCTCTGTACTTACTTTCTAGACAAACAAACAAAAAGAAGCTAATCTTTAAGTATTTTCTTCGAATATTCTTTTTAAAAAACCCAACTTGATACATTTCTATAGATTTTGCACAGAAACGGTAATCCTGCGATAAAAAATGAAGGTTTGGTTTGCCTGTTATCACATTATTTTAAAATAGCTGGAAAAAATGGACTAATCAAGTTTGGAAGGTTTATTTGGGATGGTTTGACTTAAAATATAGGCCATTAGGAGTATAGATACTCACTGTGGAGGGCCTAACTGCTACCAAGGCAGACATGGCATACCTATTGAGTTGACGTAGACAGAAGAAAAAAACGTTTTCAAAGATGAGCTCCGAAATCACAAGGACAGAGGCCTAAGATAGAATGGATGATTTGCAACTGAGCTGTCTCTCACATATACCGTTTTCCAGAATGACTATATACCAGGAATACTAAATGCTGGAATCTTTGTATGAGGAACTAAAGGTTATAATACTGTATATAAATAAGTTTAAATATTTGTTCAGGGGTGCCTGGGTGGCTTAGTTGATCGGGTGTCTGCCTTCAGCTCAGGTCATGATTCCAGGGTCCTGGGATTAAGCCCCTGGGAGTCTGCTTCTCCCTCTGCCCTCTCTCACTACTCATATTCTCTCTTGCTTGCTCTGCTTTCTCTCGTGCTCTCAAATAAATAAATAAAAAATATTTGTTCAAAGGCAATCCTTCAATTTGTGAGGTATGTTTTGTTTTAAACTATGTACTTTCAGTTAGAAAAAAATGACATAGTATTTAAAAGCTAAAACAACATTTTGAAATAAAAAGAGATATTAAGATTTTTTTTATTAACATATAATCTATCATTTGCTCCAGGGGTACAGGTCTGTGAATCATCAGGCTTACACATTTCACAGCCCTCACCATAGCACATAACCTCCCCATGGAGATTAAGATTTTAAAACAAAGATGAAAATTTCATGATTTCAAACTTTCTCCATTCAAGTATCTTTTTTTCCTTTTTCCAGCTTTACTGAGGTAAAACTGTAAGATATTTAGAGTACATCATTGTTAGGTAACATGGTAATAACAATAACATGTATTGTATCACTGAAATTTAACAGTATTTTAATCTCCTTTTCCAGGAGATTAAAATATGTCATTTGTAACATCCTCTGAGAATTGTAGCAACCAAAAATACAGTTCCTAAGTTTCCAAATAGTGAGGACTAATACCGGCTACATACACCCTTATGTCACAGACCTAAAATTCCATTTCTTGAATAAAAGACATTCATTTAAAATACAATGTTTTAGGGGTCCTGGGTGGCTCAGTGGGTTAAAGCCTCTGCCTTCGGCTCAGGTCATGAGCCCAGGGTCCTGGGATTGTGCAGAGGGCTCTCTACTCAGCAGGGAGCCTGCTTCCCTCCTCTCTCTCTCTGCCTGCCTCTCTGCCTACTTGTGATCTCTGCCTGTCAAATAAATAAACAACATCTTAAAAAAAAAAAATACAATGTTTTAAAAGGCAAAAACCTTGGTAGATATTTGTATCAATGGCAGAATTAGGGAAGCTTATTTGTTTAAAGATATATAGTAATCTTTACATAACAATAAAATCATTAAAAAAAATAGTATTAGAAAGCATTTAAAACTTATCTTACCAAGCTGAATATTTCTTATCCACACTGATTGTTTGGTTTCTTTTAAGATTTTCTCAAAGTAAACTCCAGCAAAGCCACTTGAAAAACATGCTGTGAGAACTGCCATGAGACCTACAAACTGAGAACCAGCTGAAAGTTCCTTAGGATCAAGCTCTTGAGAATCTGAGGGCCACTGAACAAAAATAAAAACAAAACTGGAGTTTAGTCCTTATGATATTTTACAAAGTGCATAATTAGAGCCCACTTTCAGACCTTAAGATAAAAATGGAGCCAGTATCATTCTTGGGGTTTGCAGGAGAGCTTTTGAAAGAAAACCTTAGAATCATTTTATTTTTTTCCCTTTGTAATATTACCGTTACAACTTACAATTTCAAAAAATTCCCTAAAAAAAAGAAAGAGAATGAATAAATGCACAGATGCACAAAATACCTTCTATAAGTTGTAGAAATTCAAAGTGTGAACTGTTGGAGCAGCAAAAATGAGTCTGGTATTGTTGGTAATTATGAAAGGTCCATGTGGTATCACGTTAACAATTGTGGGCTTTATCCTATAGATCGGTGTTCCTGAAACTATCATCTTCATGGTTTTAGTCAAATCTGTGTTCTACCTGAACTATTTATTACTTGGTATTTTAAAACACCTCACTTTTAAAAATGTAATACCTATTTTAGCTTACCCTTATTAGCATTATCTATGAAAATACGGGTTTGAAATGACAGTTAAATTTTTGTAAAACCCGTTTAAAAAATAACTATTAGAAATATTTATTCAGGGCACCTAGGTGGCTCAGTTGGTTAAACGACTGCCTTTGGCTCAGGTCATGATTCTGGAGTCCTGGGATGGAGGCCCACATCAGACTCCCCGCTTAGCGGGGAGTCTGCTTCTCCCTCTGTCCCTCCCCACTCTCATGCTCTCTCTCAAGTAAATGAAGTCTTTTTTTAAAAAAATTTATTCAAGGGGTACCTAGCTGGCTCAGTTGGTAGAGCATGCAACTCTTAATCTCAAGGTTTTGTAAGATCGAGTCCCACACTGGGTGTAGAGATGACTTAAAATCTTAAAAAAATGCTTGCATTGTTTAAAAATAAAATATTTGTTCTAGAGAGACATACCACACTCTGGGGGGAAGTGATAAACATACCACACTCTGGATGACAGGAAACTAACATGACTGGATTTGTTTTTAGATAAACCATAGTGGGGACACCTGGGTGGCTCAGTCAGTTAAGTGTCTGCCTTTATCTCAGGTCACGATCTTAGGGTACTGGGACTGGGATCCCTGCTTAGCCAGGTACCTGCTCCTCCCTCTGCCCCTTCCCCCTGCTCACTAGCACTCTAGATATCAAATAAATAAATAAAATCTTAAAAAAAAAAAAAAGGCAGACTCAGCAAGGTCTTAGTGACTGAAGATTAGATGTACAGGTATCAGGAAAAATCTAAGCCAACTCCCAGGCAGAGTAAATACTGACAGAAAAAACAGAAACGAGAACAGGTTTGGTAAAGTTTAGTTTTAGATATGCTCAGTTTATAAGGCCTATTGAAAAACCAAGCTAAGATGTCCAACAGGTTTTTTTATTTAGAAATACAAATCTGAAATTACAGGTGATGACATAGACCAAGGAACTATGAACATTTAAGTGTTAATAAAAACCTACAGAATGGATAAAGTCTCCAAAAATAAAGATATAATTTAAGGGAAAGAACAAGCCTACCAACAACCCCAATACCAAGCATCAAGGAAGAGGACCCCAGGAAGTAACTCAACAAGGAATCATTAGAAAGATGAGAAGAACCAGTAAAGAATGTTATCAGGGAAGCTGACAGACAATAAGAAGGGAGTGATTAATAATCTCAAATGCTCAGGCATCCAGTGAAAATCAGATTTGCTTTACATGCAGTATCTTATTTCTCTAACTAGATTGTTTATCAGATAATTTGATTTTTATTTATTTTAAATCTTCCTTCCTTCTTTCCTCTTTTCCTTTCCTTTCCTTTTTCTTTTATTTCATTTCCTTGTTTACATTACAATGCAGTTAACATACAGTACTATATTAGTTTCAGGTATAAAATATAGTAATTTAACAATTCTGTATATTATTCAGGGCTCAGGATAAGTGTACTATTAATCTCCTCCACCTACTCCCCGCATCTCCCCACCTGCCTCCTCTCTGGTAACCATCAGTTTGTTCTGTATAATTAAAAGTCTGTTTTTTGGTTTATCTCTTTTTTAATTTGTTTGTTTTGTTTCTTAAATGCTATATATGAATGAAATCATATGGTTGACATATATATATCAGAATATTACTCAAGCATAAAAAAGAAAGAAATCTTGCCATTTGTAACAACATAGATGGCTGTGAAGAGTATAAGGCTAAGTGAAATCAGTTAGATTTTTTTTATCAGTTGCAGCCCTAATAGAGTATTGCTCAAAAGAAGCCTTCAAAAAATATGTCAGTTGTGAGAATAAGCATTTATTTGCTTCAATAATTAACAACCATATTTTCTATGCACAGTAAGTAAGGTTTTGAAACTGATAAAAATGAAAGGTATACTTATCTTAGTTACCTGTACAAAAGCAACTCCTGTCATCAAAATTACTAGGGAGAGCCACTGGTACACACCTAATTTTTTACTAAGCATAGACACAGAAAATAATGCTGTTGTAAGAATTTTCAACTGATATGTGACCTGAAAAAGAAAACAGCTAATATTATTGTTTGTTTCTTTCTTTCTTAAAAGAAGTATTAGAAATATATTTTAAGTACCTGATAAGTAGCTGCATCCAGATTTGACAGTGCCACATAGAGTAAATTATTCTGAAGAGTATATATCCCTGATGGAATAGCAAGTTTAAGCGTTTCCATTGGTTTATTAAGTATTTCATCATGTAGTATTCGATTCAGTGCTCTTAGACTACATTCTAGTAAAAACATGAAATGGGTAAAATCATTAAGAACTCTGAATAAGTTACATACCCTCTCTCAAGGCGTGTTTTTCTCACGTATAAAAGAACAGAAACAGGGGCGCCTGGGTGGCTCAGTCAGTTAAGCATCTGCCTTCGGCTCAGGTCATGATCCCAGGGTTCTGGGACCGAGCCCCGCTTCGGGCTCTCTGCTCAGCGGGAAGCCTGCTTCTCTTTCTCTCTCTGCCTGCCTCTTTGCCTACTTGTGATCTCTGTCTGTCAAATAAATAAATAAAATCTTTAAAAAAACAAAACAAAACAGAAACAGTCCTACATGTTAAGATACCTTTAGGTCTAGGGGCACCTGGGTGGCTCAGTGGGTTAAAGCCTCTGCCTTCGACTTAGGTCATGATCTCAGGGTCCTGGGATCGAGCCCCATATCGGACTTTCTGCTCAGTGGGGTGCCTGCTTCCTCCTCTCTCTCTGCCTGCCTCTCTGCCTACTTGTGATCTTTGTCTGTCAAATAAATAAATAAAATCTTAAAAAAAAAAAAAGATACCTTTAGGTCTAAAGTATACCTTTAATGATACTAATTTTTCGAAGTTAAATATTATAATGTAGCACATTAAGAACAGCACTATCCTTATATTCTTTTATTAGGGAACACAAGCAAATTGATTACCTATGTACACACACACACACACACACACACACACACACACACATATTTATGATAACCAAAAGCTCAAAGCATTAATTTTTCAGTTGAGTATTTTTATTCTATAGTAGCAACATTATAAAAGCTTGTATTTTGTGCCTTCTATTTTATCATGAGCTCAGACCTCAAAGGTATCTGTCTCATCCCCTCAGGTCTAGGTGCAGGTCCAAAGCTGCTACAGCAGCTCAGTGATGACATCAGGGACCGAAGCGTTCTCTCCATATATATTGACTTTACACCTCCATGCTTCTCATCTATTATCTACATGATTATTGCAAGAAAGTCACCAAATGATTGCTGCACTTCTGTCTGGTTCTTGTTTTTAGGCAACAGGAAAGAACAGGAGGACATAGTGACTTTCAGGCATTGTCCTCATAGACCAGAATTTTGTTGCTCACCTACTATCCCTTGCAGCAAGGGAGCTAGGACCTGGGCAATGTAGTCTTTTCTTTCATATTTTTCACATTAGAAACAACAAAGGGAGAAAGGGGTAGAAAACGGACCTGAGCTAGCCAACCTACAGTATTAATCATAAAAAGTATCCAGAGAACATTAAGTGACACATAAACCCTGCTTGGCTCAGTGGAACATGTGACTCTCCATCTCATGGTCCTGAGTTCAAGCCCCACATTGGGCATGGAGCCTACTTAAAATTAAAAAATAAATAAATAAAAGATACATACACCCCCAAAGACAGGAGAAATCTAAGGAATCCTACTACTTTGCCAACAATGACACTTCATAGATGATTTTCTCTCCCAACATAAAACCTGAAAAGTTTCATTATGAAAACCTTTTAAAAATGAAAATACTGTTTAAAGGTTAATATCTGGGTGCTCGCTTCCGCAGCACATCTACTAAAGGTTAATATCTGATATTTACCTTTTCCTCACCCTAAAATAATAATAGTAAAATAAGATGTAACTAAAAGTTACCAAAAGATTTTTTTCTTATACCTCATTTAAACATTTTTAAAATTAGGGACACCTGGATGACTCAGTGGGTTAAGCATCTGCCTTCAGCTCAGATCATGATCCCAGGGTCCTGAGATACAGCCCCACATCAGGCTCCCTGCTCAGCAGGGAGCCGCCTCCTCCCTTTGCATACTGCTCTCCTTGCTTGTGCTCTCTCTCTCTGACAAATAAATAACTAAAATCTTTAAAAAATTTTTTAAATTAAACTAAAATTTTAAGTAATTAATGCTATCTCATATTTTTCTCACCAGCAGTTTAGGGAAGGTCTTGTTGCATGTCCCTTCCATTTCCTGTTATTGTTAGGCTTTTTATTTTCATCAATCTAAAGATAGTGAAAGTGAGTCTGTGGCTTTAATTTGATTTCTCTGATTGCTAGTGAGGTTGATCTATATTTCTATATTTATAAATACTTATATAAACATTTTTATATATTTATCTTTTATTTTTTTAAGATTTTGTTTATTTATTTAAGAGCGAGAGTACAAGCAGGAAGAAGGGGCAGAGAGAGGAGAAGCAGGCTCCCCATTGAGCAGCAAGCCCTACCTTTGGCTGATCCCAAGACCCCAGGATCATGACCTGAGCTGAAGGCAGACTTAACCCATTAAGCCATCGAGGTGCCCCATATTTATGTGAATTTTATTCTACATTACTGGTGACTCAGTCTTCTTTTTTTTAAACCACAAGATCTAGACCGTTTTACAGGTGAAATTCTTTTTTTTTTTAAAGATTTATTTCTTTATTTCAAGGGTGGCCAGTGGAGGAGGGAGGAGCAGAGGGAGAAGGACTAGCAGACTCCACACTGGGAGCAGAGCTGGATGCTGGGCTTGATCTTACAACCCATGAGATCATGACCCGAACCAAAATCAAAAGACTGTCAGACACTTAACCAACTGAGTCACCTTGGCACCCCAACTCAGTCTAATTTTGCTGATTCTTCTTCTTAATCTGACCTCTAAATGTTAGGAATGCTACAGAGCTTAGTCTTTGTCCTTCTCTTCTCAGTATATACTAAATTATTTCATCTAATCCTTGACTTTAAAGCAATATATAAGATGACAAATCCTTGAGCTCCATATTCATATATCATACTATTTAACATTTCCATTTGAATGCCTTATGGGCAACTCAAATTTAACATGGCCCAAAGAGAAACCTTAATTTCCCCCTAACTTATCTTCCATATATCATTTACTGCAGTACTCACTCACCCAGTAATTTAACCTAAAAACATAGGAATTATTCCTCAGACTGGTTCTCTATTTCCTTGACCATCACATACCTAATCTACTAGCAAGTCATGTCAGCTATAGTTTAAAAAAACATCTGTGTGAACCAAATCAATGCCATCTTGGACAAATCTGCTATGATGACCATTCTGAGATATGAAGCATTCTGGAGCATAGATTCCACCCCCCCTCAAATGCACGCGCTCGTGAGCGCGCACGCACACACACACACACATACACACACACACTTTCCTTTTGTTTAACCACATCCTTAAGTACCCCCTTGAAATATAATGTCCATGATTTGTCTTGGAGATATGACTGACCCACACCTTTTCCTAAACATTTTCCTCTTGGGGGTGCCTGGGTGGCTCAGTTGGTTAAATGTATGCCTTTGGCTCAGGTCATGATCTTGGGGTCCTAGGATCAAGCCCCACATTGGGCTCCCTGCTTAGCAGGTGTCTGCTCCTCCCTCTGCCGCTCCCCTTCTTGTGCTCTCTCACTCTCAAATAAATAAATAAGATCTTTAAAAATTTTTTTTTCCTCTTGGATGGGTCCTCAACATGTACTCTCCAGCCTCAAGGGGCTACAAAAGCAGGTCTTAAGGGAGATAGTACTGCAGAGATCTACTCCTCTTGCAGCCATCCATGACACCTTTGTCAAGCTGCATCTGTCAGCCTTTTTCTTTGGTCTCAGAGCTCCTTCAGCCTTTGAGGTTGTTTTGCATTTACCTCCCCTGCACAGAACAACTCATAAACATCATCTCTTCTCTAGCAATGTAATCTAAGCCACTAGCATCTTCTTGCCCGGACTAGTACAACAGCTTCCAAACATGACTTCCTGAACCTATTCTTGCATCTTCTCTGCTGTATGGGTACTGCATTGGTCTTTCCATGTGTAAAACAGGACATGTTTTAAACATTCCAATTATTTCTTTTTGTTTTTATAGTGAAATTTGCAGCCTACAAAGCTATCTTACTGAATGCCAATTCAATTCTCCTCCCGGATCAATATGCTACAGTCACATTGGCCACCATGATAGTTTCAAAAGTATACCAAATTTACAACAACTTAATTAAAAAATGGGCAGCAGACTTGAACAGATATTTCTCTAAAGATATAAAAACAGTCAATAAGCACAAGGAAAGATGCTCAACATAATTATTCATTAGGGAAAATCAAATCAAAACCACAATAAGATACAATACCTACTAGAATGGCTATATGTTGTTGGTTTTTTTTTTAATGGAAAATAATGATTGGTGAGGATGTGCTATAATTTAAAAAAACAAACAGAAAATAACAAGTGTTGACGAGGATATAGGGAAATCTGAACCCTTGAACAGTGCTGGTGGGAATGTAAAATGGTGCAGTTGCTGTGGAGAAGTCTGGTGGCTCTTCAAAAAGTTAAATGCAGAATCATCATGTGACCAAACAATTCCACTCCACAATATATATCCAAAAGATACAAAAGTAGGAACTTGAGCAGAGACTTATACTTCTATTGCAGTATTATTCATTATAGCATTATTCACATAACCAAAAGGTGGGAAAAACTCAAGTGCCCATGAATACATCAATGACTAAAATGTTATATATACAAACACATACATATATATATGTATAATGAAATATTATGTGGTCATAGAAAAAAATACAGTTCTGATATGCGTTACAACGTGGATAAACCTTGAAAACATTAAGTTAAATAAGCCAGACATAGGAGGAGAAACATTATATGATTCTACTTAGATGGACTATCTAGAAGATGCCAATTCATAGGGACAGAAAGTAGATTAGAAGTTCCCAAGAGCTGAAGTAAAGGAGAGTGGGAGTTATTGCTTAATGGTTATAGAGTTTCTGTTTGATGTGATGAAGTTTTAGAAAAAGATGGTGCTAATGGTTGCACAACACTATGAATATAATTAGTACCAATGAATTACACTTAAAAATGGTTAAATTTATAACATTTATGATATACAGGTATGTGTAAAAATATATTTTACTATAATTTCAAACAGTTAATAATGTAATATAGCCAAAAAAACACAAAATTGTACACTTCAAAATCTGACTTGTATGGTACATGAACTATATCTTCATAAAACTGGTTTTTTTTTAAACTATATCAAATTAGTCACTGCTGGACTAATCAATGCAGCAAATAAAATAAAAAACATTGACTTTAATTATGACTTCTTTAAATTTCTAAAACTACAGAATTATAGAACTCACTTTTATTCTCAATTATAAATGCAAGAAACCACATTTCATACTTCTAGCATTAACCAGAAGACATAAATCATGATATAGATCAGAATAAAATACATTTGTTACTGGACTAAAACTGTCCTGAGAAAATGAAATCTATAGGGGGCACCTGGGTGGCTCAGCTTGCTAAGCTTGGCTGCCTTTGGCTCATGTGAGGAAAACAGGGTCCTGGGATCAAGCCCCACATCGGGTTCCCTGCTTAGGGGGAGTCCACTTCTTTTCCCTCTGCTCCTCCCCACCGCCTCTTGTGCATATGCACTCACACTCTCTCTCTCTCTCTCAGATAAATAAACTCTTAAAAAAAAAAAAAAGAAAACGGAAAATATTGAAATGTTCTTAATACTACGACATTAAATAAGGCAATAGTGTTCAAATGTGTAGTTATCAATATATATTTACATATGTCATATGTAAATAACCCCAAAACAATCAAATAAACTGCAATGACTTAAAAAACAAAAAACCAAAAAACTTACTGCTGTCTTTGTAGACTAATAAAATGCAGGCCATTATTTTCAAAAGTTCGGCAACAACCACTGCTGTAGAAGATAAATAACGAGGACCCTCCTCTTTTAAAGTCCTAGAATAACGCATTGTGAGAACCAAACTGGTAGTCTGAAAGACTAAAATTCCCAAGGAAAGGTATTTTAGGTTGGCAGACATTGTTTTATCTTCATTTGCCTGAAAAACAAACAGGGCAAATAAAATCAGAAAATACAGAAACATATATTAAAAATCAGTATGAGACTTCTTGTTCCAGACAAAATAGAGTTAAGTGCATTCCACCCTCTTCTGCCTGCTAATTACAACTATAAATCCTGGACCAAAGGAAAAAAGTTAACTACTATAAGACTCTGGAAGGTGAAGGAAATAGACAAACTGACTAGAGACCCCAGATCCTGAGTGATAACCCAACTGGAGACTTTTGCCACTTATGTATCTCACCCTGGCTGCCGTAACAATTTACAACCTGGAACCACAACAGGTAGAGAGCAGTAACAAACAAAAGCCCCAAGGAAAACCCATTTTCTCCAACCAAAAGAATAGGAAGATAGCAGCTCTGCAGGATGGAGCCCTACTAACTGGATGTTATGTAATGTGTGGACCAGAGACTTGCTGACCATCCCTACTCTGCATTAATGAGGACAGAGACAGTGGCCCTCTTTCCTCCCATCCAGGTCTACAGCTACAAATACTAATGAGGCTGAGCCCCATGAACCACTCTTGCCCCAAACGAGGCAAATGTCAGCAAAGAGGCAGCACCCTTCCTCCCTCTCTAAAAATGAAGATTTAAGTAGGAACAAAGGTCTCATAATATCCAAATGTCCTTGATATAATCCAAAAGGAGTATATTCTTCATACCAAACAACAACAAAAAGGAAAAATCTCAACTAGGATGTGTAAGGATAATCAATAGACAAAAACACAGAGTTGACAAGGTGTTGGAATTATGAGACGAAAATTTTAATTTTTGTTGTTGTTGTTATTGTTTTTTAGAGGGAGAGGTGGGAAGGAACAGAGGAAAAGGGAGAGAATCTGAAGCACGCCCAGTGTGGGGTCCAATCTCAAAACCCTGAGATCCTGACCTGAACCAAAATCAAGAGCTGGACGCTTAACCCACTGAGCCACCCAAGGGCTCCACTGACCTCCAAACAAGAATTTATTTTTTTTAAGATTTTATTTATTTAAGAAAGAGAGAGCGTGAGGCAGGGGAGGGCCAAAGGCAGAAGCAGGGAGCCCAATGTGGGGCTCAATCCCAGGACCCTGGGATCATGATCTGAGGAAACACAGACACTTAACTGACTGAGCCACCCAGGTGCCCCCAGACAAGAATTTAAAAGAAGCTACTGTAACAATGCATGAACAAGCAATTATTAACACTCCTGAAATAATTTTAGATTCATAGAGAACAAAAAAATTACAAGAGTTTTTGTGTACTCTTCACCCAGCTTTCCCTACAGATAAGAGTTACAAAGTTCCTATATTCTCCCTAAAGTAATTCAGAATCAACTCTAAGAAGCTCACTTTAACTATGAAGATACAAATAGGTTAAAAAGTAAAAAAATGGAAAAAGATATGCTATGAGAAAAATAACTATGAGAAAGCTGAAGAGGCCAAATTAGTATCAGGAAAAATAAATTATTTAAGAACTATTCCTAGCATTACAGAAGGACATTTCATAATGATAAGAGTCAATGCATCAGTAAGTTATAGCCACTATAGATGAATATGTGTGCCTAATAACAAGCTTCAAAACACATGAAGCAAAAACTATTAGAATTAAAAGGAAAAAGCAAGTAAGTCATAATGTGAGATTTTTAACCCACTTTTCTCAGTAATTACACACACATACACACCAAAAATTCCCAGTATGAATAAAGAAGATCTGAACACTATCAACCACTATAACTCAAAAACATGGAGATGCTCCACTAAGAGCCTCTTTCAAGGAAGGACTTAATGCAGTGTGTGTGGTTAGTTAAGTGCCTCTCCACCCAAGGTCATATCCTTTGCTTCCAACAGATCTAAAGATTCAATGCAATCTCAAGCAAAATTCCTACAGGCTTTTTTGCTAGAAACTGACAAGCTGATTTTAAAATTTATATGGATATACAAAGGACCTAGAAAACCAAAACAATTTTGAAAAGGAAAAACGAAGTTTAAGTAAGTTAAACCTGTGAGGTACAGCTGGGTGGCTCAGTCAGTGAAGTGTCCAACTCTTGATTTCGGCTCAGGTCATGATCTCAGGGTCATGAGATTGAGCCTGGCCATGGGCTTCAAGCTCAGTGGGGAGTCTACTTGAGATTCTCTCTCCCCTGCTCCCTCTGCCCCTACCCCCACTCATGCACATGCATGCCCTCTCTCAAATAAATAAATAAATCTTTAAAAAATAAATAAATAAAGCTAAACTCCTGCAATTCTATACTTACTATAAAGCTCTAGTAATTTAAACTGGTATTGAGGGGGCACCTGGGTGGCTCAGTCATTAAGCGTCTGCCTTCGGCTCAGGTCATGATCCCAGGGTCCTGGGATGGAGTCCCATGTTGGGCTCCCTGCTCAGCAGGAAGCCTGCTATCCCTCTCCCACTCACCCTGATTGTGTTCCTGCTCTTGCTGTCTTTCTCTGTCAAATAAATAAAATCTTAAAAAAAAAAAAAAAAACTGGTACTGACATAGGACAGGACAGAAGGATAGATCAATGGAACAGAATATAGTCCACAAGAAAATCCATTCATATTTGGTCAAATGACTTTGACAATGGGAACAAAAAGAAATAATTCTAGAACAAGACGTCTGCATTCTTTTTAAGTGAATCTCTACCCTTATCTACTTCACACCAAATATTTAACTAGAAATGGATCACAGACCTGTCATAAAAGCGACAGTTATAAATATTCAAGAAGAAAAAGGGAGAAAAATGTAGCCAGGTAGGAAAATGCAAAGATTTCTTTCTTTCCTTTTTTTTTTTTTTTTTAATTTTAAAGATTTATTTATTGGGATGCCTGGGTGGCTCAGTCATTTAAGCCTCTGACTCTTGGTTTCACCTCAGGTCATGATCAGGGTAGGGAAGACAAGCCCCATATGGGGCTCAGCACTCAGTAGGGAGTCTACTTGAGAGTCTCTCTCTCCAGCTCCTTCTGAGATTCTTTCTCCATCTCCTTCTGCCCCTCCCCCCATTCTCACTTTCTCTTAAATAAATAAATAGGGAGGAGGAGGAGAGCAGCAGACTCGGGGCTCGACCTTACTACCCTGACTGAGATCGTGACCTTAGCTGAAACCAAGAGTTGGAAGCTTAACCAACTGATGTCACCCAGATAAGACATGCAAAGGTTCTTAGATAGGATACAAAAAGCTCAAACCTTAAAAGAAAAATACGGATAAACTGAATATTATCAAAATTTAAAACTGTTCATCCAAAGATACTATAAAAATAATAAAAGGCAAACAACATCATGGGAGAAAATATTCTCAATACATATATCTGACAACGGCTTTGCATCCAGAATATATATAGAACTCCTAAAACACAATAAATGCAAGACAATCCATGAGGAAAAAGATCTGAATGGCTCACCATTTCACAAAAAAAGAAAAATGAATAGCTAATGGGCAAATGAAAAGACATTCAGCATCATAGTCATTAGAGAGATACAATTAAAACTACAATGAGATACTAGTATATACCTATTAGAATGGCTAAGATTATAAAAATTGATGCTACCAAGTGACAGGATTTTGAGCAAATAGAGCTCTTAACATTGCTAGTGGGCCACTTTGAGTAACAGTTTGGTAACTTATTCCAAAAAAATAATAAAAATCTTTCATATAACCTAGAAATTCTACTCTTAGGTATATACCCAAGAGATTTGAAAGCATTTATCCATAATACTTATGAATGCTTATTCATGGGAGTTTTATTTGTAACAGCCAGAAACTGGAAATAACCCAAATGCCCATCAACTGGTAAATTACTAAACATACTGTGGTATATCCTTATGATGGAATACTACTTAGCAATAAAAAGAAATGAAATGCTGATGCATGGTAAAACATCAATAAATATTTTTTAAAATCTGAGCAAAAAAGTTTATAGACAAAATAGCATATACTATATGATTCATTTATATGAAATTCTAAAAAGGGCAAAAGTAATTTGCAGTGATGCAAATTTATGGTTGACCGTGGCCAGGGGTTGTGGTTGGGGGTTGACTACAAAAAGACAGCAAGAGATTTTTGGTGGTGATGGAAATATTCTGTATTATGGTTATGTAATGCTTATACAATTGTATTCACTTATTGTAACTCACTGAACTAAACATATAAAATGGATACATCTTATTGTGTGTAAATCACAGCTTAACAAAGCTGATTAAAGACTGAAGACATACTATGTAGTAGCATTCCTCAGGAGGCTTTCCTCATGGCTTTGATTCTGGCTCTAATTTCTTTGGATTAGTACCAATGGTGTTCTGTTAGCCTGTTCTTCAGCCAAACTCTATCCTTTCTATGATTCCATCTTCCATCCTAAGTTTTGTTAGTATGGACCCTCTTTATTGTATCTCTCTTTATAGCTCTCACAACCAAGCCACCAATTACTGTTCTAGGTATATGACCCTCTGTCTTCCCTTACATCATAATTATACTAAAATAGCCTGTAATATATTCAAACAGATTCAACAGTCATTATTTGGTGCCTACACTAGGCCAACTACCATGGTTACAGAGAAAGCCTATCCTTGAAGACACACAGTCTAGCTCATTAAATTTAGCAATTCTCTGACTGAATATGCTCCAAAATCAAACAATGTAACACCATCAATATGAGGATAAAATTTTTAATGAAGAAAAAGAATGAAAAAAATTACCTTAAGCACTCCATCTGAATTTCAGAGAGAAAATCTGAATAATGTATATCTTTTTTGTCACATATAAAGGATAAAGCTTAGAGGAAAGAATACATAGATTTATGTATCAACCATCTCACTTCTGTAAATCTACATTAGCAAGAGTCCTAATGTGAAATAAAATTATAGCATTTTAGAGGTAGAAGATACTTTAGAAATTAGCTAGTATAAATATCTTCATTTTAAAATGAATAGTGAACAGAGAAATTAGATGACTTGTTCAAGGTCATTTAACTACTTATTGGAAATATATAGTTAAATATCAGGTTCGCTAGTT